TTCAGGGTTTCATTCCAAACTGCTACCACCAGAGGCCTAGGATCCCTTTTCTGCCCCAATTATCCCTTCCTAGGTCTGATTCACAATTTGCATACATTAGAACAAAGTCTGCGGCATTTGTAATATCCTGGGATGGATATTAATGGTACAAGCACATAGAAATATGCTATACAGCATTTCTTAATCATTCCTTCAAGAAGGATAAGTTCAAGAAGAGTAAGTTTTGTGATTAAAGGGAAACATTAGATCTGGAATGACCTAGATCAGCGGCGTGCACCTACGCCACTGTGTGTGCAGTGGCCTGCCCACATCACTGAAAGCTCTGGGAGGCTCTCCATGGCTGATCTGGATGGAGTCAGCTCCAGGCTCTTCACAGGTGACACCTCCCCTCGGGCCATCAGTAACACTCCATTACACACAGTGACGCACAAGTGCTCCACAATGTGCCACACTTACTGCCCCAGGGCTAAACTCTTTTTTTTAGGGTTCCTACCCACTAAAGGCTATCTTGAAATACACAGGGAACACACGGTGAAGAACAAAGATTCCATTTCCTACAAACTAGTCTTGACAATTCTGAGTAGGATCTTACCCTTGAGGAAGAATTTTATCTCTAGTAATTTCGCACTCATACTATACTCATCCTATAGAAAACATATGAATAGCTGGTTAACAGTACCTCTTCATCAAATGAGATTTGTATAATTAGAAAGATCATAACAAACCTGAAGTGTCATAATTAAAAGAAATTTAAATGTACAGTAAGTGAAATCAGTGAGATAGATCAGTGAAATATTTTTCTTTGTATTGGTGGTGTTCCAAAAAACAATTACAATTAAGCTGAAAGAGGGACAAAGAGATTAAGATGTCTACTTAAACTCAATGTCTGTGACTATTAACAGTCCTTTGATCCTTATATTTGTATTCATTTTTTTCAGAACAGTGAAACTGTTTCAGTGAAGCAGTAAAATTTTATTTTATAAAGTTTTGTAAAACAGAGAGTAAGTGATGAAAACAATCCAGAGTCTCACTGTGGTTGTTTTCCTTTGGTGCCAGAAATCAAACTCAGGACCTTGCCCTTGCCAGGCAGGCACGGCACCACTGAGCTCCATCCCAGCCCTCAACTGTCTTGTAAGAGATACTTTTTCAAAAGTTCACAAATGTAAGATAAATATGACTAAGATACAGATCACATAAATGATTGTTTGGAAAAATAACAAGAGACATACTGGAGAAAGTATTAGAACACCATGTACAAGAATCCAAAAGTGTTTTTTAAAAAATGTTACTATCAAAAGGAGTCAAAACACAGTGAAGAATGTAACTGTATTGCACACCTAAAATGTACCAATAAACTTAATGGAAAAGAAAAAGGAGTCAAAACAAACTTTGCAGGACATAAAACTGCTCCCTTTTATGGATTTCATCCCCAGTTCTGCCAAAAAAAAAAGAAAAAAGACAATTTTTACTAGTCAGTCACAATAACTCAGAAGACCACAGATCATATATAACAAAAACTTTAAGTTACGTATTTTGCCGATACTAGTATAGCATACTACAAATAGTTTACATGGATGCAGTGTACTTCTGGAAGGATGAAACTAAAGAATCAGGTAAGCATCAGGTATGAAAAACTCCATATGCTATGTTAAGGGTTATAAATTCTATCCCTTAAGTAACAGAAGATTCTGTAAGAAAGTGCGACATGGTTGTGTGCATTTTAGACAAACATCGATTCTGGCAGCATCTAAGGCAGGGACAGGATAATGGGGTAAAGGTTAAGACCTTGCTGGAAAAATTCAGATGACATGCTATGTAAGACCTGACCACGCAACATATGGAAATAAAAACTAAAACATGGTAAACTAATAAAGCATAGGAAAAATCTTTTTTAAAAAAAAAAAAGTGAGGGCTGGGGATTTAGCTCAGTGGCACTGCACCTGCCTCACAAGTGCAAGGTCCTGAGTTTGATACCCGTTATTAAATAAATAAAATTAAATAAAATAAATAATCATCAAGGGGAGCATTTAAGTTGATTTCCTAGCTCATTTGGTATAGGTGGCTGAGAACTATACAGTGACAAGGGGCACAAAAGAAGCAGAATTAAGAATGGGACTATAAGAGCTGAAGTTTATTTGGCTTTTGGAAATATGAGTCTGGAACTTGGAAGAAATGTCTAGGAGGCACAGACTAATGAATAATGAAAATATCAAATATTTTCCAATTGAATATGCGTGAGATAGTAAGTAAAAGAGAAGAAAATAGTAAGGGAAAAATAATTAAGGAGTAGACAAAGAAATGGAAAACATACTGAGACAATCTCAGAAATGTGTAGCTGTAAAGGCCTACCTTCAGAAAGAAAAAAGAATCTCAAATCAATAACCTAACTTTGACCTTACGGAACTAGAGGAACAACAAACTAAATCACTGTAAGCAGAAGAAAGGAAATAATAAAACAGAGCAGAGATAAAGAAAATAAAAAATAGGAAAATGACAAAATTAATAAACCCTTGTTAGTTATTTGAGAGATCAACAAAATTGACAAACCATCAACTAGACCAATCAAGAGACTTAATTTTCTAAAAATCAAGAATAAAATGAGATTATTACTATCCTTACCAAAATGAAAAAAGAAGCTGTAAAAGAATACTACGAATAAGCGCAGGCCAACTAAGCAAGACAGATGAAATGACAAACATACAACTACCAAAACTGACAAAAGAAGACTCAAACCAACAGACCTAAAACAAATATTTTGAATCAATAATCAAATTTCCTCAACCTAATAAAGGGCATCTATGCAATACCCATCACTAATGTCTGATTTAATGGTGAAAGAGAAAAGGACAAGGATGCGTGCTTTCACCAGATGGGGAATGAGGAGTTTCCTTTTCATAGCTACGGCAGCTTAGCACTGCAAGATGGAAATGTTCTGGAGATTGGTTGCACAACAATGCAAAAATGCTGAATATTAGTGAACTTAAAAAGTAAGATAACTGGGTACTAAGTTACAGTCCGGGGCAAAAAGCTGGGGTGGGCTACTGTACAGTAGGGCAACTACCACATGGGTAACGACAAGGAGTGGATGGCAGGGGCCTGTAATCCCAGCACTGGGAAGGCCACAGCCAGAGGATCCCAAGAAAAGGGCTACAGACAGAGGCTTGTCTCCAAAAAAACTAGAAAAGGGGATTTAGAAAACTTTCATCAGAGAAATGTTAAATGTACAAAGAGATACGTTTAACCTGACTCAAACACAATGTATACCTGCACTGAGGCATCACATTACTCCATTAATAGGTATAATTCTTATATATCAGCTAAAACATAAAACTAGCTTAAATTTTAAAAACTATCTGCTATGTGTATTTTACTGTGCTTTTGTTAAAGTCTAATTTTTGATGAATGAATGGAGAAATAACCTATAAGCTAAGTATCATTCACTGGGTATCAAATCTTACACTTGTCTTTGCACCTAAAAATGTAAGCTTCATTTCTTTTCTCTGTTCTGTGACTGAGAAACACAAAGCATCTGAATACACTATTGTAGAGTTCTCTCTCAAAGGTAATCTTCTAAAACTCTATTTATTTTTTTTATTTATTTATTTTGAAGACAGGGTCTCACTATGTAGTTCAGGTTGGCCTTGAACTTACGGGGATCCTCCTGCCTCAGACTCCCAGGCGCTAGCATTACAGGTATGCACCACCGCCCCCAGCAGGTAAAACTCAAAATTTTAGAGTCTATTTTCTTTGCTTTATTCCAAGTATACCTGGTCTTCTACATCCTAAGAGATCCAGAATAAAAAGGCAAGTCTAAATTTCTCTACCTAAACCAAAAAAGATATTAAATTTCTTCAGCTTTTACACTTCTTTATCCAATAATGGTAATATGTTTAGTTATTCTTAGGAATGCTTCAATCTCTTTTTGCTCTAGACCCCTTATACTCAGGAGTTCTTTGCTATCCCATTCTTAAAGCTTTGTACGGGAAAGCAAAAGCTATAAATAAATGCACTCATCAGTGACGGTATCACTCAGCAGGCGCCCTTCGTAACCACCCTAAAGCCCTGGGAGGGAATCCATCTGAGCCTGCTCACTGTGCCCCTGGGCCCCAACTACTGGCAATGATGACTACAGAATCCAAACATAATACAAACCAACTACGAAGTAAACTACATCTGCAAAACAGGCAAACTTTCATAAAGTTAAAGAACATGTTTGTAAAATTGCTTGGAATCAGGCCGGGGATTTAGCTCAGCGGTGCTGCCGTCTGCCTTGCAAGAGCAAGGTCCTGAGTTCAATCCCCGGTACCAAAAAAAAATTTTTTTTAATTGCTTGGAATCATATAAACAGTCTTCACAATAAATGAGTCAGATCAAGTAATAACTAAAAGAAGAAATCAACAAAGGTAAATAGGCTCAGGAATATTTCTAAATATCCAAAGATTAAGGAATTTCCTGGAAAAACTGAAGAAATCCTTACATTTTTTAAAGAAAGTCCTTCATTATAATCACAGTGCACAAATGAAAACTGGCAGCATTTGCCTTACGTACTGATTCAGAATCCAACACAGCGAAACAATGCAACTCCACTGTAAAACCTGGCTCCAAACTAGGTGCAATTTAAAAGACTATATCCCATTTATTCATTAAATGAAATGGAAAAGGAAAATTATGTGTTCAGTACATTAAAAACTAAAACTTAAAAAAATAAAATTAATATTTCAAGTAACAAACTCTTCATGTAGGGACTACTAAGTACAGTGACAAGAGAGCTCAAAAAGACTACAGAAAGTCCATGAGAACACAGAGACGTTCAGAAATTTAGAACACTGACATTCTGCTTCAGAGGAGACAATAAAGCCAAGCTGACAGAGCCCTGGAGAGTGAGCAGACAGCCGGTTCACAGCAGCACGTGGGTCCCACCCAACCACAGAGCACGCCAGCTTTCAACTGGCGACTCCCATGGCGAAGGGACCACCAGAGAGCATGCTAGCAAGACTTACCATTGTGTATTGCATTCAGCAACTCTGAGAACGCTTTTAAGTAAGGAAAAAAGGACTTCAGGTTAAGATCATTCTCAAACACAAGAAAAGAAATACAATGGCATAGACTGAATCAGTATAATGAAATTTCAGGAAGTCAGGTATTAATGCTTGAAGTATTACAACTGCAAGCTTCGCTTAGTTTTTACACAGTACATAAATTTCTAAATATTGTAACTCCACTTGCCAATATACAGTATTACCTACTAAATATATCATCTGTTAGCTTTATATTTTTAAATTACTTTTTTAAAAGATCCTTAGTAACCTAAGCAACTGCCTGTAAAATGAATCTCTACGGGATGAAGTTCTACGTAAGTAAATTTATCTTAAGGTACACTCAACAATATTTATTAGAAAGAAAATCCTCACTATGTATCATCCAACCCTCCCAAACATTCTCATTTCCTAGACTTCAGTATAGGACTCAATAGACAGAGATCTACACAAGAAAACTACCTAATAGCAATATAAATTTTTTCTTTTTTTTGGTACCGGGGATTGAACTCGGGACCTTCCGTTTGCGAGGCAGACGGTGGAACCACTGAGCTAAATCCCCGGCCCCAGCAATATAAAATATTGAAAAATTAACATTAAAACAATGGGAACCAAAATACTGAAAAATATTATTTCATCAAGGGACAGAAGTCACAATTCTACAATGGAAGAGCTATGCTAAAAGGCCAACAATGATCACAGTTTGCCCACGATTTGACAATAATACAGATCCTGAACACAGGACAAAACACTGTTAATATATCTTTGTAGGAGAAAGAAATCTATTCAATTAAGAATAAACTGCATGTTGAGAAATAAAACTTAGAAGTTCAAAGGTGGCCTAAAATATACTAGAAAAAGCACTAAAGAATCAAAAAAGCCCAGGTTACCAACCCAGTTGGACAACTTACTAGTTGTTGGACAAGCTCCATCATGCCGATACTGCGTGGAAATTTCTGTTGGGAGGGAGGAGAAAGGAAATCAGTAAAGAGATTACCATGACTCAGGGAAGAAAAACAGGTTAGAAAAATGGGGGAGAATTCACCTGAAGGTCTAGCTGACTGGACCAAACTATCAGCTGAACAGTTGGGATACGAGGTGTAGGAGGAGAATCATCCATGCATCAGGGAACTTTCACAAACATTAGGGTGACAGTGTGAGAATGTAGTATTGTGTGTGTGTACGGTGAGGAGACCTAAGGGCTTACAAATGAATTTGAACAACAAATGTCTGAGAATAAATAGCTTCATTAATAAGAGGAGTAGGAGGGCACAGTGGTACACAGCTACAATTGCAGCATTCAGGAGGCTGAGACAGGAGGAGAACTGAGAGTTCAAGGCCAGCCTGAACTATTTAGTGAGTTCAAGGCAAGCCTGAACTAGTAGACTCTATCTCATAAAATCAAAGATAATAATAATTTTTTAAAAATAAAAAAATACAATTTTTAATTGGGGTGTGTGTGTGTGTGTGTGTGTGTGTGTGAGAGAGAGAGAGAGAGAGAGAGAGAGAGAGAGAGAGAGAGACACAGATAGACAGACAGACCGACAGAGACAAGGTGTTGCTATGTAGCCCAGGCTGGCCTCAAACTCCCTATGTAGCCCAGGCTGGCCTCGAACTCACAGCGATCCTCCTGCCTCAGCCTCCCCAAATACTGGGATTACAGGAGTACACCACCATGCCCAGTTCAGAAATTACAATTTTTAAATGGTGATACTTCTACAATAAATCCATTATGACTTATATAACAGTATAAAGGTCATTAAACTACATCCAGTTCGCTTCCTTGTAACCTCATTTTTACAAAGACAATAAGTATTAGTCTTATTCTTTTATTTCACCCAAATGAAGAGAACAGATGTTGACCTGAAACAATAAAACATTGCTAAGCAGAAGCTGCCCTGACCACAATGAAAAATAACCTACAAAACCAGGACCAAGAATGACCCCAAAGCCCTGGCTTACTGCAAAGGCTGGGATTCCTTTGACGATCGCGCTGCACACAAACATGCCATACATGGAGGGCTCGCTGGGATTCCCTATATATGACTTAACCCAAAACACGTCCACCAGGAACTGTATGTACAACAGAGCCCCAGGAAACCACTACAGTACTCACATGGGTAGTCACATAGGGCCTCAAAAATCTAGTCCAGTCACGGTCTCACCCTGAGGGACTTGATAAGTAGAAAGACAGAGCGAGGCACTAGCCAGCACTGTAATGGTGAACAAACTACACTAGGTGCTGCTTTACAGACTCAAACAGTCCAATTTAGAAGAATCATCTGGAAACAACAGAAAGGTCACCTGAAAGGAGAGAACCTGGGAAATCCTCTACCTTAACAACTCATTAACAAATCTAACACAATTGGTGAGATTTAAACCCGGGGCAGCTGCTGAAGAGACTGACATGACACATTACAGGCAAATGGTATGGTAGCTCTTTGGAATGGAAGTAAAATTATCAAAGGACATGCGTAACAGAAAAAAGATTTCCTCAATGAGGGAAACAAAACTGGAATACAGGTATTCTGGTCTTTAACCTAGCATTTTTGTTGGTTGTTGTTTTTTGGTACCGGGGATCAAACTCTGGACTTTGAGCTAAATCCCCAGCTCACCTAGCACTTTTATAGTAAGGCAGCTATGATATAGGGCCAACAACTATTTAACTCATCAAAGATCAAAACAACACAGGAGGCTGAGGCAGGAGGATCACCATGATTTTGAAGGCACCCTGGGCTACATAGTGAGTTAAAGGCCCACCTGAACTATATATATAAGAAGACTATGTTTCAAAATATCAACAAATAAAACAAAACAAAACCAGGAGATTTTCCAAAAGAACAAATTCCAAGATATAACCTGGTCTCAGCAGTATACAATGCTCTGTACAATTTCATTTATGACCTCAGATAATCAAAGTACACAGGAACTGAATCACTAAGAAATGCTTAAGGTATGCTGACTATATTTTCTTCTACTATGCAAGACTTTCTTAGTAACTATTATTAACAGCTTATTAGACTAACATTTGTCCCTTATGATTTTTACTTTTTTCATAGAATCACTAGCATTAATGGAAATACTTTACCAGAGAGACATCTCAGTTTAATTTTACCAACCTGAATAGATCTAAATGATAGGTATGTTTAGTAAGAAATCTTTGATAGATATATAAAGGCTCAAATTAAAATTTTATAAATTTTAATTTCATTAGAAGCCGGGAGGGGGGATTTCTCTGGAAGTGATCTATTCATATTCACAACTTATCTCTTTTAAACTGATCACCACCAAAAGACAACCTTTCCAAAGTCTCCTTTTGTAACACATTTATCACCACTAAGGAATCTCAGCACTGAAAAAGGTTTTCAAATATCTTATATTAGGAATGGTACGGCAGACAGCATTGTATTTAAAAACCCGAAACAGTTTTTTAAATGGAGAACCATGTATTTTGAAAAAACACAATGTGCCACAATAAAAGAAGTTAAGGCTAAGACAGGAAGATGCTAAGTTCAAGTGCTACCCAAACAACTTAGCAAGAACCCAAGATGAAATCAAGATAAAAATAAAAAAGGGCTGGGGATGTAGCTCAGTGCAAACAACCTGGATTTAATCCCGAGTACCAAGGGAAAGAAAAGAAAAAGGTAATGTTAGACTATCAACTTTTTTATTTTTGTAAAGAAAAATACATTGTCAAGCTTTCACTTTAGTAAATCATAAATTCTTATAATGTGAAGATAAACAGGAAAGGGGGAAAAAACAAGTTTAGCACATCAATTCTTCCAAATGCTGTAAGTACTAATTTTCAACGTGTCAAAAGATCAGGCATTCAAATCCCAAAAGTTATCTTTAGCAAAGAACTGAATCAGAAGATTAATATAATCTATAAGACAAAGATTTACAACCTGTAGCAGTCATTCAAAACATTAATTTTACATTTTATATAACTCACTATAAGTCTAGCAGTGATAGCAAACCTGTTAGAGCTTTCAATGATGCGAACAGCCCACTGGGGCCCACCTATCCCAGGTTTGCCACCCCTGATCATCTGTGGCCACGACACCCGGAACACACCCAGTCTCGGCTAACTCACTGTAAAACACTGGGCCATTTACCAGGATGTATTTCAATTCAAAATAAAAACCTTACAATCCAAATTCTTGATCAGATAAAGCCTCTGTAACTTCCTTATCTAATCAAGGAGTTTTTGTTCTAATTTGATCTGGAGCTACTAGAACAAATATCTGTCCCCTGCTACAATTTTACTGTCACCTGAGAATTCTGATTACTATTAAAACTCATAGTTGTAATAACTTCCAAGAACCACGTGACTAGAGCCTGATTCCAATGCCAAGTGTGGTGGCTCCAGCCTATAATCCCAGATACTCAGGAGGCTGACACAGAAGGGTCAAAACTCCAAGGCAGGGCCCGGCATTTGGCTCGGTGGTTCCGCTGCTTGCTTCAAAAGTGCAAGGACCCAAGTTCAATCCCCCGTAACAAGAAAAAAAAATTTTCAAGGCAAAATTAAGATTCTTCAAATTTAAAGACCCAATCCAAACATGGGCATCTGAAATGAATAGACTTAGAAGACATCATATCACAGGGATACATGCACCACCCATATTTGTAGCAGCACCATTCAAAATAGCTAAATCTTGGAAGCAGCCTATATGCTCATCAACAGATGAATGGATAAAGAGAATGTGGTATTTATATACAATGGAGTAATACTCTGCCATGAAGAAAGATGAGCCTAAGGCATTTTTAAGTAAATGAACACACCTCAAGGCCATACTCTTACGTGAAATAAATCAGGCACACCGATTTAAACATCGAATTACTTCACCTGTGTGAGAAATCCAATGTATAAGTAAGTAGCAAAATGGGGTAGAGATACGAGACAATGCAAAAGATTGATGGGAGTAAAAAAATATGAAAGAAAAAATGAAACCACTTTTGTAAATGTGGAGGGGAGGAAAGGTTGGAGGGAAGGGAGGGGAACAAAAAAAAAATGAAGATGCGCTGTGTACATGTACACACCCCCATGATGAGTGTGATAACTATGTGCTACAAATGTGGACTAAGAAAAAAAATCAAAAATAAAATATAGGAAAAAAAAAAATCAAGGCAACCCAGGTGTGGTGGCGAAAGCCTGGAATCTCAGCACCCTGGGAGACTGAAGCAGAAAGATCCCCAGCAACTTAGTGACACCCTTTCTCAAAATAAAATGGGCTACTGGGGATGTAGCTCAGTGGTGCCACGGCTACCTGCAAGTGCAAGGTCCTGAGTTCATTTGGCCCCTGAGGATGTATCTCAATGCAAAGACCTTTAAGTTCAATCCCCAGTCCTACTAAAAATAAATAAATAACATAAAATCAGGGCAGGCCTGAGCAAGCTAATGAGACCTTGTCTTGATATGATTTTTTGTGCTGTTTTGTTTTTTTGAAACCAGGCCACAAACTCACAGTCCTCCTGACTCAGCCTCACAAATGCTATAATACAAGTTATCTCTGAAATATGTCAGAAGTGGCCTGGGGTTCTGGCAGGTGACTACAATTAAGAAGGGGGAAAAAACAAAAGAGGAAGGAGGGAGTCAGTCTGATTTAATTGCACTCAAACATACGATAATTACTATTATTTTAAAATGAAAGGGCCAATTTTTTTCTTTCCATTAAAGAAATTCTTTAACCTGATAAAATTACCAGAATTAACTCCCAAATGCTTATTCGAGGAATGAGACCATTACAGTATTAAGTCTGATTTCTTCAGTGAGCATTCAACTCTCCATAAACCTGTCCTACCACATTTAATCACTATTACCTCCAACTACACCAGAAGTTTAAGTTTCTTATTCCCCAAATACACCTTGTTCTCCTGGTAATATTATTGAATTTCTTTTACTGCTTACTCCAAAGCAGAATTCAATGTCTGCATGGTCCTTTTAAACTTAGTAACACTTCTCATCCACAAGTGGACTGTAATGCTACATCAAAGGCTTTACAAATAGAATAATTTTGCTTGCAGCCTAAGTATAAGTCCTTGATAGTGAGTACAAAAATCACACATGATACTGCTTTCTGCATGATGTACACTCAGTACTCAATAACAGTATTCATTTTTAAAAAGAGATGGGCAGCACCTGTCCACAGTGGTGAACAAACAGAACCCTGCCCTCATGAAGGCAGTGTGACAGTGGACACGACGCCTAACACCATCCCAACATATGCTTCAGAAGGTCACCCTCACCAACACTAAATTATCAAACTGGGATTTAAGCAAATCAATCTTTTAAAAAGAGCATCATCAAAAATTCTTGATGTATTGCAACAGTATACATTTTCTCCTTCCTACTTTAGGAGTTTCACATTTTTAGCAGTTGTAAGCAATTTCTCAATTTAAAATTAAAGGAAAATTTAACATTTTCACATCAGAAGAAAATAAAATTGTGGAAACTTAAATGGTTCAAATTTGCTCATAGTAAGACTACACTAGGCTTACTTAAAGTAAGCCTAGTGTAGTTTTAAGACCCTCATCAGCAAATGTCTTGAATTTCCTAACTAAATCACTCTCCAATCAGGGGAAATGCACACCACCACTTAGAGTTGTGCCATTTCCCCCTTAGTTTCTTGTTCTAAATAATGAGTCATAACACCGTTTTCTCAGTGCTCAATACAGTGTGTGAGCCACAAGTGCTCACCAGCACTTAGCAGTTCTTACCTTACTCTTAAGCTTAAGCAGCATAATTCCTATACATGTATGACACTCAGCCAAGGCAACGAGAGACTTTTGACTACTAAGTTTATTAGTGAGAAAATGATCTAGTCATAAAACTTTTATTAAAATGCATAAAACTAATATTATCTCTAACAGTTGAGAGGGTAATCTCATTTCATATTTAAGAAACTATGATCTTCACAATGATTTCTAAAATCATTTCTAAAATAAACTTACTGATAAGTTAAATTTAATTCACTTACTTTCTGTAAAATAATACCAACGAGAATTTTCACCTAAATTAGTGACTATCTATGAATGAGGTAAAAGGAATATACAAACCTCATTATTTCAGCTGCCGACAGACCATAAAGCTGCCCTCTGAGAGTAACCATCCCATAAGGAACACTACACTTCCCACGCCTAAAATCTCTCCCAAATCTGTATTAGGGAGTAAAATCTCTTCAGGCCATGTAAACCAATATTTTAATTCCATTAATTTGAGAGTGTCTTTCAAATTAACATTTATATTGAACTTCTGAAATTCAGGAATTTTTAGACTATGCTTCAAAACCCTAGGAAATCACTGAAGATCTCTCACCTTAAAAGCACATGTAGGCTTAATTTTCTCAGTTAGGTGCTTATATGATCACTATGCTTCTTGTGAACCCCAAGTTTCTGCCTTTTTTACACTTACTTTTTGTCACACCCTAGGATTTATTGCTAAACCCTTCTGATCTCAAAGGAGACTTACACATAAAAATGTCTATTCAATGTGTAATCTATTTTATTTTTCTACCTTTAAAACAGTGGTTCTCACCCAGAAGAAACTCTGGCCCCCTTTGAGCAATGTCTAGATTCCTTTTCTGACTGAGGTGGAATGGAGTGCTACTGGCATAGAAGGGTTAGGGGCCTGGGATTTTGGTACGCATTCCACAATGCCCAAGGCAGCACTGTACACAAAGACTCTGACCACTCTCAAATTGTCCATAACGCCAAGGATGAAACATCCTGCTCTAGAGTCCCCCATAAAGCTACTAAAGAAACAATCTCTTATGGTTTCCACTTATTCCTGAAAGAAAAAGAAAACAAGTAGGGCAAACAAGTCTACCAGAGGGACAAAAACTATCTCTAAGAAACAAAGAAATTCTTGGCTATGTGACCTTGGGCAACTTATTTATCTCTCAAAGCTTCCATTTTATCAGCTATAAAATAGAGGCATTAATAGCACTTCACATAATACTGTAGTTGTTAGCTGAGATAACATACAGAAAGCACTTAATAGAACAGAATACCTAACATGCCATTTCTCACATATGACCTTTACATAATGGTATACACTCCTCTGTCTCACAATAGTTAACTGTTATAGTTACTTACTAAAGTTACATAGCATATGCACTACCAAAAAAGCTTCAACAGTCTCATGTGTAAAATACACAATATAAAATAGAATGGTCATTCGTCACTGAACTTTGGGGGGGGGGGATTGAACTTGGGACCTTGTGCTTGCAAGGCAGGTGGTGGACCACTGAGCTAAATCCCCAGCCCACATTATTTCTTTTTCTACACCATTTCTTACCTCTTTCCCCACCAAGTACTAGAACTGACATAGTGTATAATAATTTATCTTTGCTAAAAAATCTTATTTCAATAATCAGAAATCTAAAAACCAGAAGAGAGGTGAAATTTACAATTGTTGTGTATTAAAAACCATTTATTTCATAATCAAGATACAATTTAAAAGTAATGCTGCTATTTCTGTTAATATTAAAACTGTTAATGGTCAGCCTAAAAACATGCATTTGCACTGATTTTTTAAATTAAAAATATTTGTAACAAGGGGCCGGGGATTTAGCTCAATGGTTTCGTCACCTGCTGCGCAAGCGCAAGGACCCGAGTTCCATCCCTGGTACCAAAAAAAAAAAAGTATTCATAACAAATTAGATACAAAGGCATCCCAATGGTGAGAATAATATACACAAATCTGCTTGTATTATAATAAAAATGGTAAAATGACTAAACATACTGGAAAACAAATCATTTCAGATAGCTAAAATTCTGATTAGTAAATTTTACTACATCACTTATCACTAAAAAAAATGTTCCAGAGTAACTCAGAGGATTTGAGAAATTATTTAGAAAATAAAGACTAAAAATGAAATTTATTGAGAAAGAGAGCTAAAAACTCTAACCAAAAACACAGTCCAAAAATACATTTTATATGGGAATCCTTTATATGGGATACTTTTTTAAATATCATATGGGTGAAACAAGAAAACCAAAATAGAAAATGAGTTCTAGGTGTTTCATAAGTAATGGATGACCAATAAACTCTTTAATTTACATTTTAGTTAAGTAACATCAGATTAGTGCCAAACATTTAAACATCATTTAAAATTTTCTCCTTTAACAAATGGGAAAAGGGCCAGGGATTTGGCTCAGTGGTTCCGGCGCCTTCCTCGCAAGTGCAAGGTCCCGAGTTCGATCTCTGGTACCAAAAAAACAAAACAAAACAAAACATGGGGAAAAAGTGAAATGTCATGTTAATTGTTACTCAGTAAATCAAAATATTACCGTAAAAACTGCATAAAACTTTCCAGGGTAGAGGAAGGGGGCTGGCGTGGGGATGAGGGGAGCGATAATGCCAAGTCCCTACCTGAACCAACGGGAGATGAGCCAACACTAAGACTCTGTAAACTTCCATTCCTGAGCAAAGTGGGAGATTTTTGAAGACTGGAGCTTGCGACACTTCCTGCAGCCGAAGCCACTGATGATGTTGGTGAAGCAGAAGAAACTGAGAGATGAGAAACATTCTCTTGACTTTTATTTCCTTTGGGTCTACCAGGCCCATGCTTACTTTGTTTACTTCCTTTTCTTTTCTTTTCCTTTATGGTTTCTTCTTCTATGCTCGAAGTCTGGGCCCGCTTATATCCTGCTGTAGGAAGGCTGGAACTACTCAAATCTCCAGGTGAATTTTCAAAGCTTTTAGGCTGTGAAATAACAGCTGAGGTTGCAGGGTGACCAAGTAAGGAACTGAAACTATTTACACCCCCTTCCTGGCTTCCAGACTCTCCTTTATGTACATCTTTGGTTGATGACGACTGCTGGGCGTGAGTGTAACTGTCACTGCGCAGATCTGAGTCTGTAAAGCTCAAGAAATCCTGGGGAGACTGCACTGAACTTCCAGAGGAAGACTTCACACTGCCTGGAGTTCCTGAAAAATTACCTGTAATTTTAAAAAAAAAAGATATCAAAGCATCGCTAAAATTATCTTTTTAAGTGTCTGTCATTTTATAGGTAGTATTAAGCACTTCCTCTTGAATCGCAAGCTACTCTTTATCCAATTGCTAAGATGTAAGATGTGCTTCTAAAATTCTGCCTTTTCCCGCAGCGCCCTCAGTACCCCCAGCCCCGAAAACACGTGTGTGCTCCAGAAAGGACTGGGGGTCAGCAAGTTGCTTTCCGATGGCCGTACAAGAAGACCTGACTACAAGCTGACTCTCTCAAAGTCCGGGGAACCTTCTTTATGAAATACTAAAAATATGCTTATATATTCCCAATATGGAATAAGGACCAAGGCCCGTTTCTTAAGTTGTAAGTTCTAAGTTTTACTTTTAAATGCAGATCAGTGATTTCTGTGATTCGGCGAGATATAATAAAATGATGACTCCACGTGGCCGCTTTCCAGGGAGCTGCATGAACCAGCTGCTAACATTCTCCTGTTGCTTGCACGAAACAGGAACAGCAGAAGAGGTTGTTTTCGTGAACCTCATTCTCTTCAGAAACACTGATTTTTCCCCTCACTCTAGTCAAAGAACACTAGCAGCCGGCCACGCCATCACGCGGAAGGACCATCTCAAGGTGGGTACTCTGGGAAACCCTCTCCGTGCTCCTAAATGAAGTTAGCGGTGTACAGACTAGGTGGTTACACATCTATTAAATTTCATAAAACTATGTTGTATTTTTTTTTTCTTTTCTTTTCTTTTCTTTTTTTTTTTAATGGTACCGGGGATCAAACTCAGGACCTTGTGCTTGCAAGGCAGGCAGCAGAACCACTGAGCTTAATTCCTGGCCCTTAAACTATGTTGTATTTTAACCAAAGTGTTTGGAAACAAAAGTTGAAAATAGAAGTATTTTATTAGAGGAGAAAGGGAATTAACTGTAAACCAAGTGTTAAATTCTACTGCAGATTATATTCATAAATATTACATAAAACCATCAAGATATCTATGATGATTTTCCCTCACACACAAAAATTTTATTTATAATTGGCTTCTCAAGGTTTGGGGGGTTGGGGGGGGACCAGGGATCAAACTTGGAATCTGTGCTTTCGAGGCAGGTGCAGCACCGCTGAGCTAAATCCCTGGCCCTTTAAGTTTTAACCTCTTCTCAAACAGCTTATTTATCAAGAATAGTCCTAATTCTAAAACTTAACTCTTTCAAGAGTACATCTGTTATATTAATTTTTAAAATTATTTGTACTTATCTGGGCATTTTCAGGCATCTATCTAGAAAAACACATTAGGAAGGGATTTACATTGAGCCAGGTGTGGTGGCACATGCCTGTAACCCCAGCACTCGGGAGGCTGAGGCAGTAGGATCACCTCGAGTTTGAGGCCAGCCTGGGGTACACAGTGAGTTCAGGGCCACCTTGAACTACAAAGGGAGATCCTGACTCAAAAAACAAACAAAAAAAACCCAAGAAAGCATTTACACTGGATCAATCATTTGAGATAACTGCAATTTGCTACATAAATACCAGCTATAAATAAATTTTTAGCAGGGCATGGTGGCACATCCCTCTAGTCCCAGCACTAGGGAGGTTGAGGCAGGAAGACTGTCATGAGTTCGAGGCTAGCTCAAGGCCAGCCTGCTTGAACTACATAGCGAGACCTTGCCACCAAAAAATAAAAATAAATGAATTCTTATTGTCCATTCTGATCTGTCACCAACTGTCTTTACACTTTCCTGTTGGTTTTCTTTGAGGGTAGGGGATTGGAGACAAGGTCTCACTACATAGTCTAGGCTGACCTCAAACTCATAATGATCCTCCTGCCTCAGCCTCCCAAGTGCTGGGACTACAGCTGTGTACCACCTACATTTTTCTGTTTTTATAGTTAGTGTTAAAAGCTTACTCTGGTACAGCAAATACTTTAATATATTTAGCATATAAATAAGTAATATAATTTAGTAATAACTTAAATGTGTATTTTCTAAAAATCAAATATTACTAGCTATGTAAAAAGCCAATTCTCTTAAATGCCTTATCTTTAAATGTTTAAAATTTTTAGATTATCTCTGATATGAAAATAAAGCACATTTTTCTTTTTTTTAAAGACAAGGTCTTGCTATGTACTTTAGGCTCGCATTGAATACACTACGTAGCCTAGGCTGGGACTCGAACTAGTGGCGATCCTCCTGTCTCAGCCCTCTTGAGTGCTGGGACTACAGGTGTGCGCCCCACACCCAGCACATAGCACATTTTCAACTATGTCTTAACAGAGGCTCATAAGATTCTCTTTTCTTTTCTTTTGAGACAGGGTCTCCTATGTAGTTCAAGCTGGCTTTGAGTTTACTATGTAGTCCAGGATGGCCTCAAACTCGCAGCGATCCTCCTGCCTCAGGCTCTCAAATGCTGGGATCACAGCATGCACCACCACACCCAGCAAGATTCTTGAATGTTGTAAAGTTCCAAAACATGGGAGATTGCTTCCCCAACTGGATTAGTACTTCAGAGTTTACAGACTTCAAAATGTAATTTTAACAGTGAATAATAAGGCCTTAATTACAGAACTACTAACTGAATTTTGTTAATACCACTGTCAAAATGTAAATTAAGGACCAGGGATTTAGCTCAGTGGCACTGTGCCTGCCTCGCAAGCACAAGGTCCCTAGTTTGATCCCCGGAAAAAAAAAAAATGTAAATTAAGTTACATTTAACGCTAGTTAAAAGTTTCACTGTATTATAAATTTGTATAAAATAACAATATACATTTTAGTAAATATGGCATTTTCTTTCTTTCACACATGTCTAATCTTTTGTTATATAAGGGACACACACACACACACACACGCACACTCCAGGGAGCTGAAAATCTTCAAGCCCAAAATTACTACATGTATATAATATATATGGCTATATTTTTTAATGAGAGGTCAGCAGACTAACTATTCTATGTATTCAAATGATGTGGTACCAGATTTTTTAAATAAAGTTTATTACAGTAGTAGCAGAAGCTTCACCAGGGGCAAAGAGAGAGAAACTTCTCTTTCCTCATTTACTCCTACGGAAATAAAGAGTATAAATGGACACTAATCATGTATTTTACTAGCATATATTCCTGAAACAGTTTAGCATTTCTATTCCTCACAATATTTACTTCATATTAAAACTCACACAAAGCAACCACACAACATTATGTGATATAAAATTTAGCTGAGGTATTCTATTCTTCATAAAACAAGGTTGCCTTATACAGTATGGTTTGCCCAATTAATTCTGAATTTCGGTTTAACAACAAATGGTATTTAGGACACATACTAAAATGTAATTATCTGAAATTCAAATTTAACTGGGCATCCTATAAATACAGCAGACTGACCACATATAAAGGCCGGATGAAATTCTACTTCAAACTTGAGGGCTTTATAATAAAAGCACTATTGGTTAACAATTATTACTTACTGAGACCCAGTTAAGAGTCCATAAAAATTGCTAGGTACGGGCCAGGGATTTAGCTCAGTGGTTCCGCTACCTGCCTCACAAGCACGAGGTCCCAAGTTCGATCCCCAGTACCAAAAAAAAAAAAACTGCTAGGTACTTGTCCACCTATTAAAAATGTACACTTTGACTGGTTTCAATGTTTAATCGGGAAAGATAAATGAAAATTATAATAGAAAACAATATCCTATAAAGCAAAAGAAAGCTCCACCTTTGTTTTTCTCTACAATCTTTTCCTTCCTTCTTGGGGGGGGGGGGGGGTGTGAATCACTATGTGGTCCAGGCTGGCCTGAAATGCACTATGTAGCCCAGATTAGCCTTGAACTCCTCCTGTCTCAACCTTCCAGGTGCTGGGATTCTAGGGCCATGCTGGACTGTGCCTGGCTTCTCCCCAAACTTAACCTTTAACCCACAGTTGTTTAAAATTAACAGTCTAACTTTGGAAGCACAGATCATAACAAAAATGCAAGTTCCAGAAATAATTCAACTGCAAATACTAGCCTTTGAAGTAATCTTACTACATCAGCTAATTACATAAAAATCTAGAATGATCCATTAATTATGAATTTTAAAATGCTTTTACAAAATTACGATTGACCATTATCAAAGCAAGTATTTTAACTGGAAGCCACAATGAATACCTTGCGGGAAGGGACTAGCTGCTGACACAGGCACTCCTGGGTTTCTTCCACCACCAGGCTTCCTTCCCCTCTGACCTGAGCTGTGAGCTGCAGACTTCTTCCCTTTGCTCTCTGACCCTCTAGGTTCTGAAACATCTTTTCCACTGGATGTGTGTGCAGAGACTTCCTGGAAATTTGCATTTGTAAATCTTGCCGTAGTATCTTCCAAGCGCTTCAATGATCCAGACATAGAGTTGGTGCTAGTGCTTGTGTAAGTCTAGCATTTTGATTCCAACAAGGATTTAAAAGGGGAAAAAAACTGATTACATTTGGCCACAGAAAGCAATAAATTGCACATTAATAATTACTGAACTTGTAAATAAACACACACTTTCACTTCTACAAGTAAGTCATTCTACTAAAGAAAATCATGTAAAAACAATTATTTTAGGGCCAGGGATTTAGCTCAGTGGTTCCACCGCCTGCCTCGCAAGCACAAGGATCAGAGTTGAACTCCTGGTACCAAAAAAAAACAATTATTTTAAACTCTACTACAACTATTTTTTCTTCTTTTTTGTAGTCCTGGGGTACAACTCAGAGCTTCCTGCATGCTAAGCACGTGTTCTACCACTGAGCTACATCCTCAGCCCCAAGACCGGTTTTTCAAAGGCAGTATAAATAATTTACAGTTTGGCTGGTTTGAGGGTCAGACTGCAGCGGTTAAAGTACCTGTTAGTCAAATACAGTAAGTAAAACACAGCAACTCTGAAGGTACTCATTTCTCAAGCAAAATCATTTCAACAAAAACATACTAGTTTCTAGACACAAAATGAGAATAAACTTTAGTGTTCAAAAAAGGAAGACAATAATCAGAGAAAACTAAGGTGCTACTAGCCTACTGGCTCTCACATAGGACAGGGCAAGATTTTCTGAAGAATTCAGGTGAAAACTCCTTTTTCAAAAAAGTGTGTTTAAAGCCTTTGAAAGAGAAATCATTTCTTCCAAGATTAACTGGAAGAAAAGTTACACATCACAGTTGAGATTTTTATTACTATCCCTAAAGTTGATTCTTAATCACCCTTGTTGATCTAGATGATTGAGGAAAACAGCAAGATCAAGACCTATTTAAACAACCAGTTTTTAGTAAGCATTTTAAATACAAGATCTATCCAAATAATAGCAAATTAAATGTCTATGAAAGTGTCTCACAACAGATACAATTTCATCAACATGGAAATATGAAAGGTTAATAAGATCCACAGGGGCAAGGATTCTTGATATGGCTATTCAATTTACTCTATTATCTGGCATAACTAGTGCATTTAAGTTCAATGGGTGCCTTGAATGTAACTGGCATTAAGTTTGTTAAACAGATATTCCTGTAATGCATCCATCAGTAATCTCAGGTGTAAAAATAAAAATAAACAAATGTGAATTTCCCACATAGAGCTGCCATTCATTATCAACAACCGGATAAATTTGAAAAATAAGGAAGTAACAATAAAATAGGTTTCAAAAGCACTGGCATTTTTAGCAAAATTAATGTTCAAAAGAAGAAATGAGAAGATATCTGATGTCTTGAAAACCGAATCTTTACTGGTACTTTTCTGCTCATTTTTCCCTGTTGCTACTTCAACTGCTATCAGTTTCCCACCGATAACAGATTTTCATCATTAAAGATAAGAAATATTATCTCACAGAAACAAAATAGTCACTATTCCAACAAATTACAATACACAAACAAAAAAAAAGTTGTCAGAGTCAGTTCAGCAGGGAAAAAAGTCCCAGTAACAAACCAATCACATTAAGCAGACGAAACTCCATGGCTTCAGAAACATGAACCTTTTCCATACTGGGCAGATCAATTTGGAAACTACCTTGCCTCATTTTTCAAACATTTTTTTGCAATTACTTAAGTGGATCCTGGAGTTCTCCATTCCTCTCACATCTGATCCTTATATGACTCAGTGAAGTTTCAAAGTCATCTAAAAAAACACAGTGATGTTCTTCACCAAGGTACTCTGCTCAAGTGTCAAAAATGAAGAGAAACCTGATGAAGTACTGCTGATGAAAGTACAGGACACTTTTCGCTCCCACGAAACACTCTCAATCAGGGTTGCTCAGCTTTCTCGTTTATTTAACAGAATGTCCTTACTTCCACCTTCAAGTATAAATCTATCCATAAAACTGATAAAAACAAGGTATTTTGAAGAAAAGATATTACAAAGAAAGCAACAAATGAAATGATCAAAGTTAATGACAAAGCTTATATTAAAGCCATAACTGAATATTTCTACTTTTTAAAACTTCATACACTTTTGAAGTTTCCAAAGATATCAGGGGCTTAATATGGTAAAATTTTAGTTTAACATGTTAACATTTGGAAAAAAAATAGACATAATAAATAGTCCTCCCAATGCTACACAGGTTTAATTCAGGGACTCTGACCTTAAAATGACCTTGAACAAGACCTTCCATGTTTGAAAGTTAATTTTAAAATGGAAGAGAAGGAGAGAAGGAGGGAAGGAGAGAGGGAGGGAGTTCAATAATGTTCTGCTGCACAGTACAATACTAAGGTATGATGCAATAATCAATGACCCAAAATCCAGGAGGAGAAAGGTTAAAAGGGGCAGCAACGGGAGGTGGGAGAGTGCTGCAAAGATACAATGAGTAAACTCAAGACTAAATGTATAAAGCTGCTGTTTTCTCAGATTCTCATCCTACATGCCTCTCACAGCATGAGCACCTCATTCCTAACTGATCATGTGTAAAAATACCTATCTTTCATGCAATTTGGACCATTAAAGGCAAACTCCGTCCATTAATGTGTGCTGCACTCTGGATAGGCCCATGGCACGGCTTGTTGGCCAGTCTGTGCCACTACTGGAACCGTTAAGAGGTAGAAAAGAGGTAGTGGGAAGAAATTAGGTCACTGGGGGTACTGTGCCACCATAGAGCCAAGAGTCTCTGGATTGAAATCTCAGAAACCACAAGTCTAAATACATCTTTCTTTCATATAGGTAGATCACCACAGGTATTCTGTCACAGTGATGGAAAGCTGACAACACAGTACTCAATTCAAGAAAATATGGTATTTTTATTCTTTACTACTAGAGACAAAAACTGTATTTTATTTGAGTCTCTAAATTCATGTGTAAATATTTTGGTCTATATTGTAACTTAGAAGCAACTTAGTAATTTAGAATATTTATTACTTTTGTTCACAGCTAAATACAATTATTAATCCTATGATAAGTTGCAACACTAGTGACCAACTTGAAAACAAAAACAGCAAACAAAAAAACTTCCTAATTTCAAAAACAATTTTTAATTACACTTAAAATTAAATAATAATTCTTTAATAGGTAACCAAAGAAACAGCAGTTAAGTTTTTTTTTAACAGTGTGATCGTCTCAAATTATTTTACAAGGCTGTCCTATGCATCAGTAAGTAGGAGGCAGTAGGAAGAACAAAGCCAAGGGTACGTCCTCAACCCTAACTAAACACAACATACTGGTTAAAATTTGAAAATAAAGTTACATACTGCACTATTCAAGTGTCTCATAAAAGCCACATATGTCTCACTAAGTCAACTTGAAGAATATAACACAAAAACTATCCATCATGACTCACTGCAAGAACACAAATACTTTAAACAAAAAGAGAACATTGAACTGTACAGAAACAGTAAGCATCATAACTTATGTGCTTCTGGAATACCCAAAGGAAAATGAGAGGGGGAAACTGAAGAAATAATAGTAGGAAAATTACAAATGTGAGGAAGACAGTAGGTACATACATCTAAAAATTTCGACTAACTCCAATCACAAGAAACATGAAGAAATCTATCTGAACACAATGCATTATCAAACTGTTAAATCATCAAAACTCAATGGTAAGAAGAAAATTTAAAAGAATTTGTAATAGGATTTTTTTTAAAAAGAATGTCTTATGTATAAAACACAAAGATGAAAGGGAATGTCTCTCTGGAAACAATGCAATCTAAAAACAGAAGAGCACAATAAGAAACTGTCAACCAATTAGAATTATATAGCCAGCTAAAATATCTTCTACAAGTAAATGCAAAATAAAAGCTTTTTCAGAAATAAAAGCTGGAAGAACTAACCAACAGAAGGCCACAGTATGGTAAATGCTAAATGGATGCCTTTTAGGCAGAAGAGAAATGACAAATGAAATGTGGATCTATGAAAAGGAACAAAGAACCCTAAAAATGGCAAGTACTAGTTCTTATATACACAGTAAAAACTAATTTTTTAAGAAATTAAATTATTTCAGCCTATTTAAAATTGACAATTTAGAACAAAAATAACATGAATCATCAGATTATAACATATGTACAATTTTATGAAGTGAAAAACAGCACAACAGTCAGAGGGCAAGAATGGAAGTATATGTCAGTAAGGTTCATAAACTATATGGAAACTGGTATAACACTACTGCAAAGTAGACTCTGCTAAGTTAAAGGTATTATACTGTAAAGTCTAAAGCAACCAATACACTAGTACAAGAAATTATTGCTAATCAAAGAAAATACTCAACTAAGAACAAAAGCAAAGAGAGAAACACAAGAAGAGAAATGATGGACAAAAAAGGATTAGTAAAGGTTACATTAAAATAAAAACCGTATAGGGCCAGGGATTTAGCTCAGTGGCACCGTATCTGCCTTGTAAGCACAAGGTCCCGAGTTCCATCCCCAATACCAAAAAGTTTAAAAATAAAGATAAAATAAAATAAAACCATATGGTTAGGCATGGTGGTACATGCCTGAAATCCCAGCACACTGTGAAGCAGGAGGACTGCAAATTTGAGCCCAACCCAGCAATTTAAGACCTAGCAAGAGCCTATCTCAAAATATATTCAGGAAAAATTTTTTTAATTTTTTAAAAAATTTAAAAGGCTAAGTAAGTGTAGGGCCGGGGATTTAGCTCAGTAGCACCGCTCCTGCCTCACAAGCAAAAGGTCCTGAGTTCAATCCCTGGTAGCAAAAAAATTATTTTTAATTAAAAAAAAAAAAAAAAGTCTTAAGGGTATAGCTCACTGCAAAGATCCCGGGTCCAACTCCCATTGCCACAAAATATATGTAATATGCAATTATAAATAGTGTGTGTATATGTAACATGTAACTACATTATAGTGAAATTCTCTAAACATTCTGATTAAAAGAAAATACTACAACAATGAATTAATAAACTTCACTATAGGATGCTCTAAAGAACCCCAATTATAATATAAAAAATACAAAGACATAAATAAAAG